TGATCTGTAATTTGCTACTATGGGTTAGCTCTTTGGCTAGTGCAGGGGTTCCCAATCTTTTCAGCCTGCAACCCACAAAGTAACAATGCCAATGACTTGCGACCCCCAATATCCTCTGAGGTGGTTATATACTAAATATACAAACCTTGCAAACACAAAACGGCTCACACACACACACCAATAGGCCCAAGTCTATTCTTTGTTTTATTTTGAAGAACGCCACTCGAAGATCATCCTCTGTTCAGTCATGACCTGTATTGATTAATTTTATAGTATGCGAGTGCCGTAAAAGTGTCAGAAAGTTTAACCTGGTGCCATGAGAACAATCTGCTACATCTGACCTTATTGTTGTGTCTAATCTAACGTAATGAGACCCCTATAAACATTAAAAACTGATTTTATCTTCTGCAGCATATGGACAAAATATGCTCATTCTGATAGTTTTATCAAATAAATTGGGTTTTTTGAAATTTCAAGTAACCCCCGCTCATTATCCCGCGATCCACACTTTGGGAACCACTAGTACATACAGTGTAAGTAGGTACTGTATAGTAGGCTACATACTGAGTACCTGAAATTGTGTAGGCTACTTACTGTGTTGTAGGTACTACTTTTGAATGTGAACTTACTCGTATAGAACCATATTTAAGTGGCCATGAATAATTGTATAGTATGTTTGTCTATCCATAAAATCTCTTCTGTGGCCTCATAAAATAGTAAAGTGTCCATTAGATGTGGCCAAAACTACATTATAATTATGATTAATTAGGTGAAGCAGTAGGTTATCATATAACTTCAGATGTTCACTACCTTCGCATACTGTTTTTCCCTATAAAGTTTCTATAACGTATGAAGAATATGCTATTTTGTACGCACCACCGTATGTTACTTTTAGAGATAAGATTTATTCTTTGGGTCACGCAAGAACCAATTAATGAAGAACTAATTAATGAAGTAGTACTGTTATAATAGGGGTCCGGACAAAATCAGATTGTATTTATATCACGCCTGTGAACTAACGCCGCAAGGAAACATGCAATACTTATTTTTTCACGGATTTGTCTATCATTAGTGAAAACGGAGGTTTTGTCGTCCTCTGGTGGACATTTGTGGCTGCTGCTAGATTGCAAATTTTTGAAGTGTAGAACACCTGTTAAACTGCTGTAAGTATCTCAGCACATGACTGGTTAATTGTAATATATTTCAAATACATTAGGTAATTCGACCAATTTATCAAAACAGTTTTTCTTGGCCTTGCTGCATATAGAGTTGTCAAAATTCATCCCTGGTTTTGCATGTGATGTGTGCTTTGTCCCATATAACTTTCACTGACCTCACATAAAGGATGATGTCACCAACTATTAGACCATGAAAGCAACGGCATCAGCTGACATAATGCTGGCGAAGATTCATCAGAAGTTCTCAAGGCTTTTGAGAAAATATGTTTTGAAATGTGTAGTAACCATTGACATCCATAGAAAAAAAAAATACTTTGAAAGTCAATGCTTTCAGGTTTCCAACATTCTTCAGAATATCCTCTTTTGTGTTCAACACAATAAAGAAACTCATGAAGATTTAGAAAAACCTGAAGGGCAGTAAATAGTGAGCAAATATTGATATTTCCTTTAAATATTTACTCTTCCTTTAGGTCAAATGTCAAAAGCACTTTCCTAAATATGTGGTGCAAATGTTTGTTGGTGTGTGTGAAAAGGTTTTACTTTATTATGGACAGGTATTTATTAATTAATTAATTAATTTATTTATTTATTTATTTATTTATTTATATTTTTGTCATATTTCAGGAACAAAAAGACATTCTGAGCTTTTTTCCTCTCTTTTTTGACAGATCTGGTTTTATGTTTAACTCTGAACTGTTAAAAACTGTTATAAAAAAGAATGCTAATCTAAATAATAATAAACTGTGATAGTATATAAACAGTACCAAAACAACACTGGGTAGTTCAGACACGGTTATAATACTCATTTATTTAATCTTATGCATTAGAGCTACTTTGAAGTTAATTAAAAGATGAATGTTACATCAAAAAAAAAAATAAATATTAGAGGTTTAGTCCACATTTCTCTCATCCACTCATCATCTTCAGACAAGTCTTTTCAAGTTTCTTCACATTACCAACAGTACAGTGCTAGCATTGTATTTCAGATAACTAAACCATTAGTCAGAACTGTCCAGCTTAATAGACTTTGTTCATGAGGAAATCCATAAAATCGCCCACTTTAAGATTCTCAGTTCCACTCGACCACAAAAACAACCCAGCCTTGCAGTCCTCGGGCCAGGGGCCTTTCCCATGGCCTAACCCCTCGTAAAGATTCTAAAACAGCTTGGCCAGAATTGTCAGTATTTAGTCTTATTATTATTATTTTATTATTTATTTATATTTTAGCATGCAGTGTCATAAATATAGACCTACCACTAGTATCTCAGACATGTAGTTTGTGTGTGAACAAGCTCTGTGAGACGCATTATAGGCCTGTAAAATTCCTGGACTCACTCTCATCTGTAAGCTCTGCAGTCCATGTGTTGCCACAAAAATGTTTATCAGGCTTAATTCAAGCGCCTGTAAATTATAGCAGGAAGCTAAAGCTCAGCACAGCCACAAGAAAATGACTCTGTTTGCTGGATGTTTTAATTATGGCTTCAATTAATTTGCTATTTGGAGGATGGGCGCCTGTTTACCACCAGATTCATACATGTGATGTTTATGAAGTTTTCCATAACAACAATGAAAATGTATAGAAATAGGCCTGAACAGACATTCTTTCATGCTGTGTGTTTGTGCAGGTTTGTGGTAGATTGAAATTAGTTTGCTTGTTCTACTTGGGGTTTTATACACATTCAACTACTGGCACCTCAAGGTTTGAGTATTAAGCAAAAATTCCAGGCAGAATCTATGTAAAATTGTACCTGATACGTATAATTATTCTATGACTTAGAAACATATTTACATATTTAAAACAGGGAATATGTATCATGATAATAATAATATGAATGCAAAAATGCAATAATTTCACTCAATTAACCAACAGGTTTCAGTGAAAATTTGGATGTCTGAATGACTCTAACTGACAGAAATATAAAATAATAACCCCACAACTTCGGTGGCATGATGGCTCAGTGGTTAGTACTGTCGCCTCACAGCAAGAAGGTTCGAGTGCTGGCTGGCCCAGTTGACAAAGACATGCAGTATAGGTAAACTGGATGATCTAAATTGACTGTAGATTGTGTTTGTGTGCGTGCGTGCGTGCGTGCGTGCGAGTAAGTGAGTGAGTGAGTGAGTCAGTCAATCAATCAATCAATCGATCGCCATATCACCCTGCAGTCCAAGACTGGTTACACACTGAAGCAACAGGGCTGAACCTGGTCAGTACCTGGATGGGCGATGACAGAGGAAAACTACAGGTTACTGTTGGAAGTGGTGTTAGAGAGGGCGCTCAAACCGCAGTCTGTGTGAGTAATAGAGAGGGGTCTGGCTGCACACCTGGTGCAGTGCAATCTGGGCTGCATCCAATGCTTTTTAATGGGCTTACCTAACCCCACCCCTAACCTTACCCATCACAGTGACATCACTAGCTTCATTTGAGTGCATTGTGTCTGACATTGCATCGCTAAGTGATGCAGTCTCAGCTTGCATCCTTAAGTAATGCCCCAGTCTAGTGAAAGGGACACTATACTGTTAGTGCGTGCCGTCTTTCAGACGAGACATTAAACCAAGGTCCTGACTCTCTGTGGTCATTACAAATCCCATGGCACTTCTCGTAAGTGGTGTAACCCCCAGTGTCCTGGCCAAATTCCCTCCTTTGCCCCTCAATCATCCACCATCCACCGAATTGGCTCTGTTGATACACCAGTAGCTTGTGTGTGGTGAGCACACTGGCACTGTTGTCCTGTGGCTACTGTCGCATCATCCAAGTGGATGCTCCACACTGGTGGTGGTGTGGAGAGACCCCCCATCATGATTGTGAAGTGCTTTGGGTGTATGGCCATTCACGATAAATGCGCTATGTAAATACACACTATAATACAGTAATGGGTTGTGGCTGGAAGGGCATCCACTGCGTAAAACAAAGGCCGGAACAGTTGGTGGTTCATTCTGCTGTGGCGACCCCTGATAAATAATGGACTAAGCCGAAGGAAAGTTAATGAATAAATGAACGAATGACATTTTGTTTCCTACTGTAAACATGTCCAAATATGACTAGTTTTTGACTAGTAATATGCATTGATCAGCACTTCATTTAGATGAATTTTTCAGTATTTTGGAAGCCTCAGATTCCAGATTGTCGATAGTTGCATCTTCGCCAAATATCCTGATAATCCACATATCAATGTAAAAACTGAAAGAAAATAAACCCCACATGTGTATAGCGTTTAACTAAAAATAATTAATAATTAAACATAAAAACCTTGAACATTAGATCAGTATTACTGCTGTTAAATACAAATTAAATTGAATCAAATTAAATTGTTATTTTAGTGTATATAACAATAATGTCAACATAGGTTACACTTAACTGAAATAAAAAAAGTAAAATAGCCTCATCGTTTATCTGAGATGGAATTGTGTACTATAATTTAATAAATAAATAAATAAATAAATAAATAATAAGAGAGATCTTTCTCTAACAGACAGTTTTGTGTTGATAGATAAAAACAGTTACTCCACACAATATTTAATTGTTTTATAAACGTCTCTTTTTCACTACAGTGCCAGATATTTTTCATTATGAATTAATTCAAAACATTGTCGTCAACAAACGACAAAAAAAAAAAAAAAAGAAAAACTAAACTTGTAAAAGTTCTGCAAGAGGGAGTGCAATTTCAAGTAGTGATTTAGCCTCAGAGATTCGCACTGCGCATCAGTGTGAGAGAGTTTTCGCGGGCCAATCGCATCGCTTGTTGTCATTGTGAAGAGTGCGCGTGGAATCCGCAGCGCTTTTATAAACGCTGCGCCAGCAGAAACTCCAGAGAGACGCGCATTGTGCTCGCTCCCGCGGCGCACCAAATTTACACAGCTCGGTCCAACGATTATTTCTGCTTGGAGGCAGCTTGGATGGTTTTAGTTTACATTCAAAGCTACATATAACGCACATTCCTTATTTATTTAACGTTCATAATCATGATTTTGGTCACTTTATTCTGCATCTGCGCTTTGGTAACATCGCTGCAAGCTGATGCTCGCCTTAGTAAGCGGTATGTGATCGGCGGGTGTCCGAGTCACTGCGATAAATCCATGTGTCCGACGATGCCGAAGGACTGCTCAACTGGGCAGGTAATGGATCACTGTAACTGCTGCCTGGTGTGCGCGTCCGGAGAGGGAGAAGCGTGCGGCGGGGTGGGTAAGCTGGGGGACCCGGTGTGTGGAGAGAGTTTGGAGTGCTCCGTGACCGGCGGAGTGAGCTACTCCGCTACCGTCAGGAGGAGAGGCAAACAAGGCGTCTGCGTGTGCAAAAGCAGTGACCCGGTGTGCGGCAGTGACGGAGTCTCGTACCGGGACATCTGCGAGCTGAAGCGGGTCAGTAACCGAGCCCAGAGCCTGCAGCAGCCGCCGGTGCTGTTCATACAGCGGGGAGCGTGTGGGACGTGTGAGTATCTTACCAAACCTGTTCAGTTTACTTATTTGTATACACTGTGGCACAATATTACGTATGTGCGCTTAAATGTAGTCAACTTTAAATGCAACTTGGATGCATGGAGGATTGTATGGATGAAGCTGACTGATTGCTGAAAGGAGTCCAGATGTTGGCAGCAGATGCAGACATCTATTCATCATCGGTTAAAACCATCTGCAAAACTATGCACCCCATTTTTATGATCTTGTTCCTTTGTAACCTTCTTTGCTGGTAATGTAGCTTTCTCTTCATACATTTAAAGAGAAATTTTCCCCACATGAAAAAAGTGTCCAAGTGTCCAATTAGCAGGTGACTTTTTTTCTTTAGTTAATCATTGAAGAAGACTTTTAGCTAAAACTGTGGTCCTTGGTGATTAAACATTTTCAAGTGAACAGCTACCTGCACTTTTAGAATAAAAAACATCCAAGCCAAACTAAATGAATACCAGAGGCTTCTATCAATACTCTTAGTAGTAAACAAACATCATCAGCTTTAATGTGACACATTTGCACCTGTGCATGTCTCATTATGAAACAGCAGACTTGCACTTTAGACTGCATGAACATCTGACCATTTGCAGAAGCTGCAAAGATAGTTATGTTTTAAAATAATGTACAGTTTCTCATACAGACTACTCATTTCACTTTAAAAGGCCTATGTGTGTCATCAGGAGCCATGCAGGGGTATTTATTTTTTGTCAACATATTTAAGCAAGTCTTTTGACTCTAGTATTTTATCCTCATCAAGGAACACTGAAGTCAGAGACGTCTTGCATAGTCTGAGGGTGAGCGAATCAACAGCAAATTTTTATTTTGTGGTAAACTATCCCACAAAGGCACAATTTCATGTTTTTATAGTCATATAAGTTGGAACATGTTTGGTTTCAGTTGATAAAGTGGATAAATGTTAACAGAAGTCAAATGTGTTTGAGTCATGCATGGGTTTGTGCCTATTTCATCATGTTCACAATGAAGTCCAACTACAGACTGTGAGATCAACAAGTTCGAATGTAATCAACAATAGAAAGTACCAACTTTAGTCAAGTCTCTGCATTCAGCCACAATCATTTATTTTAATGCATTTTGACACTCACATGCAATTTGGTCAAAGCACTTGCTCATGGGCCACACAAACACAGCCTGACCTATTATGACCATTTGGACTTGAGAAAAGACAGAGCAGCTTGCATGCTCTTTCTGTGAGTGCACTCAGAATATAAGGTTTCACTTCTTGAAATGAAGATTCCTGTATCTTATTTTCTGTGTTTATGCATTTAGTGTTAAACAGAGATGAATTTGAGCAGGTTGTAGAGGCTCTACTTTTTAATAAAAAAAGATAAAGATCCAATTTTTATAATTGAGTAAGCTGAAATGTGGCCTCTCTTTATCTTGTTTCTTCATGATTCTTACTGAAAGAGACTCAATGTGTTCTTTTTGGCACACACCAAAGCTTAAATTATGCCTGAAAGTGAATAGTTGTCTTGGTCTGGATAGTAGATTTGTGATAGTGAATGCTCACACACTTGTTGTCTCACACACACGACAGTATAAACTCCTCAGTATCAGCACTCCAGAGCCTCTTCATTAGAAGCTCTAATATTGAGATACGTTTAGCATAACTGTTGACATGTGTCTGTTCTCTGCATATAAATGCTCTAAGCAAAGGGCCAAGCTGTGAGAGGTCTGTGGCTTCCAAGTCCTGGCCTCACCTAAAGAAAACACACCGTGTCTCAGAGCTCATGATGTCATTTGCATCTGGATCTGAAGGCCTGTCTGCATCTCTGCACACTTTTCCTTCCCCGGCTGCAGATTTAGGTCATATTGTGAGCCATATGCACTCATCAGGAAGCAGATTTTTATTGAAGCAGAAACAATGTCATCCAGGTGCCCTCCTGCAAGAGTAGATGTTTTGGATTTTGGATGATTGTGATTCAGTGAAATGACCTGCACACCGCTAGCTTAAGGATGGGAATGGAGTGATGCACCAAATAGGCATGGGACGATAATCGTTTTTAAGGTTTAGAAAAGTCAAGGTTTTAAAACCGGCAAAATGTTCTGCTATATTCATTCATTTCTTGTCAGCTTAGTCCCTTTATTAATTCAGGGTCGCCACAGCGGAATGAACCGCCAACTTATCCAGCAAGTTTTTACGCAGTGGATGCCCTTCCAGCCGCAATCCATCTCTGGGAAACATCCACACACACATCTACACACACACACACTCATACACTACAGACAATTTAGCCTACCCAATTCACCTGAACCACATGCCTTTGGACTGTGGGGGAAACCGGAGCACCCGGAGGAAACCCACGAGAAGGCAGGGAGAACATGCAAACTCCACACAGAAACGCCAACTGAGCCGAAGTTCGAACCAGCGACCCAGCGACCTTCTTGCTGTGAGGCGACAGCACTACCTACTGCGCCACTGCCTAGCCATGTTCTGCTATACCATTTCTAAAGGCCGGCTCACACTATGCAATTTTTTTTATAATCCTGAACGATTAGCATGTCTGCATGAACATGGCTCCCATGTCACACTGTAAGATCTCAGCTGTCATAAAGTCAGACTGAACAACAATGAAGACACGCCAAACATGAAAGAAAACACCCCAAGAGTTTAATGTCATCCACCCATGACACTTTCACTATCCCGCATTCTGAAATGATTCCTCACAGCAAACGTAAACAATATAGCGACAATTTTGCACATGCCGTGTCTCAATAATAAAACCAGGAAGACAAAAATTGTTTTGATATTTCCCAGCGGTCATTTGAGTTGGATTGTGTCATCACTTTCTGCGCTCTTATTGATTCTTGGATTGACCCTCATCACAGCTGTTGTCACACAGCAGGAAAGTTTCTGCGCGGAGGCAACTTAGATGGTTTTAGTTTACATTCAAAGCTACATATAACGCACATTCCTTATTTATACGTTCACAACCATGGTTTTGGTCACTTTTTTTTGTGTCTGCTCTTTGGTAACATCGCTGCTAGCTGATGTGCACCTTAGTAAGCGGTATGTGGTTAGCCACTTACTAAGATGACAAAATCGTGGCTGAAATCTCACAGTGTGAGCAGGGCTTAAGTTATATATGCCGTTTTAAATTACTTGGGAATCATATGATTGGAAGATCATGATTAGCTAATGCGAGACCAGCTGTGGTTAATCATAAGCACGTGACCCTCTCGAAATTAGTTTATAAATAAACCTCACTTAGTGCTGTTAAACAACCAAGTGAGCTGCTTTGCTGTTTTCCAGAATCTAAAATGACATGTTTGGAAACAATCTACAAAGGCAACAACTTGACTCATACATAGGAGTAATTTTTTAAGCCCAAATGTTTTATGTGTTTTTGGCCTTTAAATAATGACTCAAACACAGGTAAAATGACTGCAACAACTGCATTAAATCATTTTCTATTGTTTTCTCATGTTTTAAAGGCATAGTTCACACAGAATAATAACAATACATGTTAATTTGTTCAAATGAAGTTTGATATGACTTTGTAACTAATTACATTTCCTCATCTTTCAACATGATAGCTTGTGCAAACTTATCCACATGGAAGTCAGATACTTTCCACATAAATGCATAATCATCTGTGTTGCTCTCATGATGGTATCCATCTTCATTTCAGTACATTACTGCAGAGCCATTTTAGCTATTTTACTTGTGTTCAAAGAATAAAAAAGAACTTCGCAGTGAGTACATCAGGGCATTGAATAACATCCAGTCTCTTATTGTTTTGTGTGGAAAATTACAAAGTCAAGCTAAAAGTATCTGGCTGCAGTTCACTTAATGGCCACTATTGTAACCAATTTCAGAATATGACTCCTTTAAATAGTGCACTCTCCTGCCAAAAGTTTTGCATCTAAAAAGAAAACATTGTTTGGTTATACGCTGCCTACAATTTGGTCATAATTCATCAGTCATCTCTGCTTAAGCATCTTTGTCTCTGTCTATGTTTTGGAACAATTTATTAGCTATATAAGCAGTGTAGGAGGGCATGTGTTGTACGGATAGTGTGTTTGTGTAAGCATTATTATTAATATATTTTTTTTTGAATGATCAGTTGTAATCATTAATTAAATAGCAGTGGTCAGTGTGTGTTAAAAGTTAATTGCAGTGTTAATTGCAACTTTGTAAAAAAAAAAAAAAAAAAGTGTGTGCGTGGTTTTGATCAAGTATTTCAGGCTTGCTGCCCAAAGGTGAAACTAGGTTGTTTGTGTGTGTTCAGAACCAAGTTTTTATTGTTGTGTTTTGTATAACCTGAGCATTGTAATTCCTTCATAATACACACTCAGCATGTGTGTTTTTGTCTGTCTCTGGTTTTAATTACTCTATGCAGTGTGCCTGTGCTGTGGTTTATGTGCTTTTATATTTTGTGTGTGTTTGTTCGGTGTTTTTTATAGGCATTCAGAGGTTTGTTCTTTCCATACTTCTGCAGATTTGTTCAGTAGCCTTACACATGCTGATCAAGCACATGTTTCTGCAGTCTGTATTGCCATTCTGTTTGTCTTTCTCTTTCACTTTCATTTTCTCTTTCTTTTTTTATTAACATTTATTTTACTGTTATTTATTTAAACACTATTACATTATATTGATAATTATATTATACACGTGATTGGAATCATTTTTTATAACAATGCAGTATTGTGCATAAAAATCTCCCCAAATTATTAGTAGTACAATCAAACTAAGATTATTTTTTGTTGTTATTTTTCCGTTAAATTTAAGACAAGTTAAATAGTTTTGACTTATAGAAATTAGAATTTGTGTGTATTTTTCACTTAATTATTCAAATATGGTTACCTCTCACATTTTCTGCAGGTAGAAATAATACATGGGTGGATTTAGGGATTTTGGTGCCCTAAGCAATTCCAGCCATATTATTTTGCAGTGTTTTTTTCTTATCATTTGATCTCCTTTTCTTGATTTTATCTTAATGCATAATAATAATAAAAATAATA